AATACATACTTCAACTTTAAAAGTCATAATATGCTTCATACCAAGAATGGGAGGGATCCTTTACATTTAGTTAATAGTTATATACAGCAAGGTTTTAGAAATAATTTACATTAAATGGCAAGAATAACGTATAGCCCTTCAATTAATCAGAAATGAAGATGAAGCCATTTTACATGAAAGTCTAGCCCATTTCAGGTGTTCATAGCATACATTTTCTTTTTAGAGGTTTGTCTTCAAATAATGAGTACTACTAATGCTTCTAATCAATAGCGGTATCCAGAAAGCTATGTATAATAAATATGTAAGTACAGTGTCAGTACAAACCTTGCAAAATAAATAAATTTACCTTAAACAACAACTCAATCTACTTTCGCTTTTAAAAACATTTCTTGCTAAGACATCACAACTTAGTAGATTTTAAATTATACATCATTCTAAGTTCATTTTGTGAAAATCAAAAATGGAATAATCTGTGAGTATGTAAGTAATAACCTTAAAAAACATTATTTCTCTACGTAAAAAGAAATCCTAAAGAAAAGCCCTGTGGTACACAGTATAGGAACTCAACTGAATTATTTTCAACCTTACAGGACATATTTACATTTGCAATGCCCAGAAGTTTCCGATTCTCAGCCATAAAGTGTATGGGTAAACTAGCTCGCTTGTTTTCAGACCTCTGTCCTCTTGTTCTCAGTTCTCTAAGACGGGTGGTCCTTGGGCCAAATACAGCCTGCCCCTTGTTTTTGTATGGCCCTTGAACTAAGGTTAGTTCTTACATTTTTCAATGGTTGAGAAAAGATGAGAAGAATATTTGTGACGTGAAAATATATGCAATTCCAATTTCGGTGTCCATAAATAAAGTTTTATTGGAATACAGCCACATTCACTCATATATGTGTTGTCATGGCTGCTTCTGCACAATGACAGCAGAGTTGGGTGGCTGCAACAGGCCATAGGGCCCAACCCTAACATGTTTACTGTCTGGCTCTTCACAGACAAAGTGTGCTGACCCTCATTCCATGTCAGTTATTGCCAGCTTAGCGATGGTTTTCCCAACCGCTGACATTTGTAACACGGCAGTCTGCCAGGCTTCTTGGCTTCTTCATCTGTAAATCGGTAGCTACTAGCCCTGTGCCATTTTACTTGTCCTCAGCATGGACCTCACGTGTGAAGAAGGCTTCAGTTCAGAAATCATCAATTTCCAGTTTAAGTCTAATAAAAAGAAGTACATTATATTTTTTTCCACCATGGTCACTCTTGACTAACATTTTGCCAAAACATCTCCACCTGTAATGGATACACAGGCTTATTAGTGTGTTGAAAATGAAGAAACACGCATTAATAGCATCGCAAATGTCCGGTTTTCCAACCAACAGAAACCACAGCTCTGGGACGAGGTTTGAGGAAGAGACTGTTTTCTATAAACTCATGATGTTAGAACATGGTGTTCTTGGGAGGTAGAACACCGGACTGTCTCTGCCCTGGAAACAACATTCTTTAGAAAGCTTTTTTTTAAAATCACATTCAAATAAACTGTTCAACTTTAAGAAAAGGTGGAATTCCTTCTAACAATGTTTCTATTATGTCAACTAAAAGGTGAATATTTACTTATTTAAAAATTATTAGATTGTTGAAACTTTAGAAGTGGACATTTTAGAACAAAAAAGGTGAAAAGTTAAGTCGCTCAGAAAGTGGCAAAAATACTAAACTTGTTTTCTTTTTTCTTTTTGAGTCGGAGTCCCACTCCGTCGCCCAGACTAGAAGGCAGTGGCACGCTTTCAGCCACCCCACCCCAGCCTTGACCTGCTGGACTCTGGCGATCCTTCCGTCTCAGCCTTCCAGGTAGTGGGAACCACAGGCGCGCGCTACCACACCCAGCTAATTTTTGATTTATTGTAGAGATGAGGTCTCGCCAAGTTGCTTGGGCTGGTCTCGAACCCGCGGGCTCAGGCAATCCACTCGCCTCGGCCTCCCAAAGTGCTGGGATGACAGGCTGAGCTACTGAGCCCAGCCCTAAACTCGTTTTCTTAGGAGTATCTGCAGAAAGGCCCTTCTTTGTTACAAGTGCTTTTTCTTACAAGCACCATTGTAAAAGAGGTCATAACATGGGGTGTAAATTCCCACGGATACACCAACAGCTGCTTTTAAAGAACAGCTTCCCGAACTTTAAGGAAAGCTGTGAAATCAACGGACTGATTCCAGATGTCTGCTTGCTACAGGAAAGTTGAATCCAAAGGCAGTCATCTGCATCACTAGCACACTCTCTGTCCTTACTATAAGCAGTCAGCAATGCATTAGAGTGTGCATGCTATTTTTAGGTCAAATTTCTAGTGGAGTTGTGTTCTTATGTACTTAATGTTACTTTGTAGCGAACAGCGCACTTTATGTTTAGAGTAGTATATGGCCAATTTCCCAGCCTTGGTGTAATTTCTACTCATTTACAGAAGTGATAGGGGTGTGTATAACATCACACCTATGATTTATTTGATCTAAGTTCTAGATATGGAAAAATAATATTTTGAAGTTTGCTCACTGTCCTTGAGGGCATGATCGCAGACCCACTAATGGTGAGCCATTTTCTGGGTTGGAGACTCTTGTCTCTTCGTCCTAAAGTTCACTTGACTTTTGGAGGAGACGCTGATTGTCTCAGCAACACTGGGACAGAAAGGAGAGTGAGTCTTGAACATAAAGAAAAGCAGAACTATGGACTTCATAGCAACTTGGGTGGATTTAGAGTCTATAATATTTAGTGATTTATCACAGAAACAAAGTTCTGAGTACTCACTCATAAGTGGACCCTGAACATTTATCATACTATAAGAAACATATTGGCAGTAGTGGGACACTGCCAGGGAGGCACATAACATCAATAAGTGTACCCAACTTTATCTGCATGATGACCACTTATGTACCTAACCCTGAATTGTACCCCACATCTTTAAAATAAAAATAATAGGCCTAGCTGGGTGGCTCAGCCCGTAATCTCAGCACTTTGGGAGGCCGAGGCTAGTGAATTGCCTGAACCTGCAGGTTCGAGACCAGCCCGGGCAACTTAGTGAGAGCTTTCTCTACAATAAAAAATCAAAAAAATTAGCTGGGCATGGTAGCGTGTGCCTGTGGTTCTGGTTACTTGGAAGGCTGAGGTGGAAGGATCACCTGAGCCCAGCAGGTTGATACTGGGGTGGTTGTGAGTGTGCTGCTGCACCCCAGCCTGGGTGACAGAGTGAGATTCCAACTCAAAAAAATAAAATAAAAATAATTTAAAAAAAGGCTGGATGCAGTGGCTCAGCCTATAATCCTGGCACTTTGGGAGGCCGAGACAAGAGGATTGCCTGAACCCAGGGGTGCGAGACCAGCCTGGGCAATTTGGTGAGACCTCCCTGACTAAATTATCCTATGCATATTCATGATTATCTTTCATGATTATTATTCATGGATGTTGTGTGGTGTGGACTGTTACTACAGTTGTGAGACTTCTTCCTGCCGAGTCTTTGCATGCAAAACCTCAACAACCTTGACCCCGGAGTTAGACAGATATGCAGATATGTTGGAGGGGGCAGTTTCCTGTATTTGGCCTTGTCTGTTATTTTGAAAGAATTTTGCACATGTAGTATCGGGCACCAGTTATTTTATTTATTTAATTTTTATTTTTATTTTTGAGTTGGAGTCTCACTCTTGTCGCCCAGGGTGGAGTGCAATGGCATGCTCACAGCCACCGCAGCCTCCACCTGCTGGGTTTAGGCAATTCTTCCGCCTCAGTCTTCCAAGTACCAGGAAAGGCACCGGTTATTTTAAGTCACTGGAATATAGAAACACAGTGTCAATGTATTGGGCCTTCTTCTGGGCTGTTAACAATCACATTTGGCCCTGTTGGGAGGTGTCAATGAGTTCTTTCATTGTGAGCTTCTGCAGTTTTACAATTTTATGTGAGAAATTCCTGACTAGGATAAAGACAGATGGTGAAGTTCTCTAGTGCAAGCAGCGATGCCTTCACTATGCTGTTGGTTACTTGGGAATTTTAAATCTCCAAACCAGAGTGGAACAGGACAAGGATGGGCATTCACAATCCCTTAGGTTCATTAAGAAACAAAGTAAGACTGGGCGAGGTGGCTCAAGCCTATAATCCCAGCACTTTAGAAGGTGGAGGTGAGAGGATTTTCTGAGTTCAGGGGTTCCAGACCAGCCTGGGCAACTTGGTGAGACCTCCTCTCTACAGTAAATCAGAAAATTAGCTGGGTATGATGGTGCACGCCTGTGGTTCCAGCTACTTGGAAGGTTGAAGTGGAAGGATCGCCTGAACCCAGCAGGTATGAGCCCAGCTGTGAGAGTGAAACTTCCACTTAAAAAAATAATAATAATACTGAGTGATCTATCACAGAAACAAAGAATCGAGTATCACATGTTCTCATAAGCAGACCTTGAACAACTATCGTAATACTATAAGAAAGGGATTGGCAGTAGTGGGAAACTGCCAGGGAAGGAAGGAAGCACACCTCATCACCAAGGGTACCTGCATCACGAACATTTGTATACCTAGTCCTGAATTGTATCCCACATCTTTAAAATTAAAAATTAAAAAAAAGAAGAAACTTGTGTTTGTTCTCTTCCAAGCTTTTATTCTTGTCTCATGAGAATAATTTGCTTTAAGATAGAATTAAATTTATTCTGTATGTGGATACCAAGCGTTGATTTGGCAATTGAGGCCCTAAATCTCCTGCATTTTCGAGACAGAAGCTGTTACGCTGTTTTGCTTTCTTTGTAACTATCGCATTCTGGATGCCAGATTTTTATTTTTTAATTGAGGCAGAAGGAGATAAGGTTGTTGAGGCTAAATTAAACCTAAATTAGAACAACATAAAACTAGAATTCAAAGGAAGAAAGGCTGAATGGTTCACAGAGCCCCTAAAGAATGTTCATGAGCATTAGTAATAATGAAGACAGTTCTGTCTGGGCGTAGTGGCTCACACCTCTTTTTTTTTTTTGAGTGGGAGTCTCACTCTGTCGCCCAGGCTGGAGTGCAGTGGTACCATCACGGCCACCACAGCCTTGACCTCCTAGGCTCAGGCGATCCTTCCGCCTCAGTCTCTGAAGTAGCTGGGACTAGAGGGGTACGCCACCACACCAGCTACTTTGTAAAAATTTTTTGTAGAGACATGGTCTTGCTATGCTCTCTAGGCTGGTCTTGAACTCCTGGGCTCCAGCAGTCCTCCTGCCTCGGCCTCCCAAAGTGCTGGGATTACAGGCTGAGCCACCGATCCCGGTCTTGGCTCACACCTCTAATCCCAGCACTTTAGGAGGCCGAGGCAGGAGGACTGCTGGAGCCCAGGAGTTCAAGACCAGCCTAGAGAGCATAGCAAGACCATGTCTCTACAAAAAATTTTTACAAAGTAGCTGGTGTGGTGGCGTACCCCTCTAGTCCCAGCTACTTCAGAGACTGAGGCGGAAGGATCGCCTGAGCCTAGGAGGTCAAGGCTGTGGTGGCCGTGATGGTACCACTGCACTCCAGCCTGGGCGACAGAGTGAGACCCCTGACACACACACACACACACGCACACACACACACACACGAAAGTTCTATGTCTGTTGAAATAAGGCTGTTGTACTATGGACAAATTGGTTGCCTTTTGGGGCCTTTGCTTAGTTATCTACAAAATAAGGAGTTCAAAAGCTCAAAAATCTTCAGAGCCCCTTTTCCTGTTTGAAGACACCATTCCTACCTGCCTTCAAGGGACCTCCACTTCTTGGGAAAGATAAAAGATACTGTACTAACTTTGCCTTACAAAGTCGTTTAAGTTGAGCCCTGTTTCAGAATGGTGCAGCGACCTTTCGTATACCTGAGTAAAACATGCTGGTCACTGTCGATAATCCACGGGGTCACTGGGTGACAAGCCACCTACAGGCTTCTCCTCCTTGTTTTGGACACTTTCTGACGCCAGGAGTTGAGAAGGTGACGTGAGTCCTCGGGCCTGTTTGGTTGACTTGGTGAGCTTCTTGAGTTCACTTGCAAAAGATATGCCTTTTTTCTTATCTTCTCGGGATGCCTGTGGGAACAAAGAACCTTCCATTTGTGCTAGATTAAATTCTGGTCCTCTTTCCCTCTGACACTGTGTCAGAAAGAGCTCTTTTCTCTTCTCTCTCTGGCAAATAGAGCTTTGAAAAGAAGGCAAGGGACTCTTCTCTCAGGACTGCTTAACCACGGGGGCGTGGGGCACATCTTTTTTTCACACAGTGAAAACAGCCAAACAATTCGCTCCCAACTCCATTCCTTGACTTGGGAACTTTCTCTTAGACTTCATGAGCTCCCTGACCTGATTACAGTGTGATTATGAAATAACAGTATACGAAGAGAGCAGAACAACCTTGAACTTTACCTGCACCTGCTCCTTTAGCTTGAGGATGAATTTTCCTGCACCTTTCCACTTGCTTTGGGCTTGAAATACACACTCCTGATCCAGAAGGACCCGCTGCGAGGACTTCTGGGTAGAGGACTTCCTGTTGGTTGTGTCTTTCACCACCTCTTCCAAAAGCACGTAGTCGCTTGGGTTGGGGTTGCTTAGGATACTGTAGGAATATTTGGCTTTGCATAAAGTCTGAAAGATAGATTGTGATCTGCTGAATAAAGAAAGACACAGGAGCTCCAAGATTTGCATTCACTCTATTCTTTTTTTGAGTCAGGGTTTCACTCTGTTGCCCAAGCTACAGTGCAGTGGTGTGATCATGACTCCACCACAGCCTCCAACTCCTGGGCTCAAGGGATCATCCTGCCTCAGCCTCCTGGGTAGCTAGGACTACAGGCATGTGCCACCACGTCTGGCTATTTTTAAAAGTTATTTTTGTAGAGACAAGGTCTCGCTATGTTGCCCAGGCTGGTCTTGAACAACTAGGCTCAAGCAATCCTCCCGCCTCGACCTCCCAAAGTCCTGGGATTACAGGTGTGAGCTACTGCACCTGGCCACCCTTAAGAACTCTTTTTTTTTTTTTGAGTCATGGTCTCACTCTCTCACCTAGATTGGAATGCAGTGGCATGGTCATGGCTCACTGCAGCCTTAAGTGATCCTCCCACCTCTGCCTCCCAACTACAGGTGTGTACTATCACACTTGGCTAAATTTTTTATTTTTGAGGAGATAAGGTCTTGCTGTGTTGCCCAGGCTAGTCTCGTATTTCTAGGCTCAAGCAGTCCTCTCGCCTTGGCCTCCCAAAGTGCTGGGATTACAGGCCTGAGCCACCACGCCTGACCTTGTATTCATTCTAAATGAAACTTTTTTTTTAGTTGGAGTCTCACTCCGTCGCCCAGGCTGGGGTGCAGTGGCACACTCATGGCCACCCCAGCATCCACCTGCTGGGCTCAGGCAATCCTTCCGCCTCAGCCTCCCAGTCTTCCAAGTAGCCAGAACTACAGGCGCGTGCTACCATGCCCAGCTAATTTTTTGATTTATTGTAGAGATGAGGTCTTGCCAAGTTGCCCAGGCTGGTCTCGAACGCGTGGGCTCAGGCAATCCACTCACCTTGGCCTCCCAAAGTGCTGGGATTACAGGCTGAGCCACCGAGTCTGGCCTGGTGAGCTGGGATTTGAACCAAAAGCAACTTGATCTAGGGTCTATGCCGTTAGACATTATGCTCCATCACTGCCCAAATAGGTGTATCATGAATGCCAATCCTGACAAGACTATGAAGGAAGCAAATATAGTTCTCCGAGACCATGAAAACAGAGAAGCATGACCTGGAGGAGGGGTAAGGGTCAGAGTAGGCCTCCTGCTTGTTCTCTGTAGGACCCTTGAGACATGGTCACTAGGAATTGGCTCAGGCATTTCTGGATCAATGACATTGCCACTCCACAGAGCCACCTCCTGAGTCCATGAGTGCTTCAGAGAGAACCAGACTCATTATAGATACCCAGTCAGTATCTGGTGAAGGAATGAACTAATATTCCCAGCTTTAAGAGGCTCACTCTCCCTTCTCAGGTCCCTGGTGTTCTGTAACATCATGCATAAAATGAGCTGTCCCTTCATAGACATCTGACTTATCCCGATACTTTCTACCGCAGCTAGGCCTGTGGTGAGGACAGGAGGGGCTCCTACCTGCTGAATGACGTCCTGGGCCGTGCTGACGCGAGGTGCTTTGATGACGGTTCGAGGTTGCTCTGGGGAAACATCATGCACTTGGACGAAGAAACTCTCTTCCTCTGAGCTCAAGATCACCTCTTTGTCATCTTGAACAATTGTCTTCTCTTCTAGGTTCTAGGTTTAAAAAAAGTATGAATAAAGGGTAAGATGATATAGGATAAAGGAAGAAAAATCTAGCAAAGATTGGAGCTATATCTTGGTAACACAGAAACAACTTCTTAGCTCTGTATTTCATCTGCTAGTTAGTTTTTCATAAACTATCCTAAAAGAAGACACTTGTCTTCTGAGAGGAAAGAAGCAACGACACGCTCACGGCCACCCCAGTGTCGACCTGCTGGGCTCTGGCGATCCTTCTGCCTCAGCCTTCCAAGTAACTGGAACTACAGGCACACACTACCACACCTGGCTAACTTTTTTATTTATTGTAGAGACGAGGTCTCGCCAAATTGCCCAGGCTGGTCTCAAAAGACAATTCACTCGCCTCGACCTTCTAAAGTGCTGGGATTACAAGCTGAGCCACCAAGCCCTTATTTCTGCTGATATTGATATTCCTAAGGTCTGGCCCAGAACAAGCCAGTTTATCTGCTCCTATTATCTGTGGATTTTGAGAGTTCCAATTAACTGTAGATAAATCTGTTGAAAGACAATATACCACTTTGCCAATTACTGTAAGCCAAATAAGAACACAGTAAACTGCATTTAAAAGAAAGCCCGTCCATTCCCATGAAGACCTTGAGTACCGAAGAAATATGAGGCACCTGAAATGTAAATCATGTGAAATTGACAGTCAGACTGAAACAATGGCTGGAGGCAAGCCGCATTGGCACAGATATTGACAAAATTCCCAATCACGAGAACTGGTCATCAGGTGAATTGGCTTCTGATGAATTCAGTGAATTATTTATATATCTACAGATATATGTATCTTAGTAAAATGTTTACATCGACAGTTGTCTCTTACTAACATTTTTATATCCACACATATGTCTTATTAAAAATTCTCAAACAGAATTATATAAAAAAAGGAAACCTTTTCCATCTTCACCCTTTTTTCCCTCTTTCTCCCACCTCATTCTCCACAGAAAAGCCTACTGTGGTTAGACGAAGTGTTCTGCTAGACATTTGCTGCAGAAAGTCCAAATGTATTTTTGTGTATGTGAATAAATATGTACAACAAAACCCTGGAATTATGTGGATTTAGATACAATGTGATTCCAAGTGGCTCCCTTTCCTTGTCAGCCCCTGATAGGGCTCACATGGGGGGGGGCGTTGTTAAAATAACTCACTGCTTCCGTGCTTTCTCAAGGCTGCATCCTTAGGCTGGGTGATAAACGGTGTCCTGTTACCGTTTTGCAGATGACTCCTGCTTTTTCAAAGAGTGCATCTCAAGGTCACATAACCGTCTCCCCCAAACTGCTTCCTCAAGGCTGCATGACCACCAGCCCCCCATCCCTCCGTTTCTTCCAGATCAACACATGCTATGTGGCCACCAAACCCCGTGTAGGGGAATAAAAATAACCCACAAAGAACAAAGAGGGCTGGTTTCTCTTTGAAGCCAGTCCCCCCGTGTCTCTCCTTTAATCAATTTCTTTCTCTCTGCCTGACTCCGGGCTCACTCTCATTTTCTCAGTGTTCACCTTACAGCCACCATTCTCAAACAAGGGTAGCTTGAAGTTACCTTCTGCAAGAGAGGCGAGTCAACAGTGGGCAGCCCTGTGAGGTGAGTGGATTGCCTGAGCCTGTGGGTTCGAGACCCGCCTGAGAGTGTCTGTGATCCTCTGAGCCTCATCTCCCCAGACCTGGCCACTGAGGTGGTGTTAACCAACCAAAGGAATCCGTGAATGGCTGTCACCCCGGAAGTTCCAGCCAGCCACATGACCCAGAATTGTCCCCACTGATATTAAAGTCAGAACGCCCAACTGCCACCAGGTGGTGCCACACTGTGGACCAGAAAGAACTGGTCCCTGAAGCTTGCCAGCCACCCACACTGGTTGCCCCGGTAATTCCATTGACCAGGCAGTCATGGCCCAACAATGTATGTGGCTCAATGGTTAGCACCCTATTCATTATGTGAAGGGTGTGGGGAGCCATTATCTATTTTTATTATGTAAAATGATATTGTACTCTCCTGCACGCACCACCTTACAGCCTGTTTATTCTTCCCACTTAAAAGATGCTGCTAATCATTTCATGCCCATTCCTAGAGCCTGCCGCATAATGGGAAGTGGCTGCATGGCATTGGTTGTAATACACTTAATCAGCCAGAGCGAGAGAGGCTGGCTGTAATTCATATGACATAATTTATCATCTCAGTGTCCCTAAAACCGAGAAGCAAGAAAGAAGACAAAAACAGAAAAGGCTCTGAGTTGCTTCACAGAAGGTCCTAACAAAAATGCACTAAGCGTTATTTTAGGGGAGCTCCTTAGAGCGCTGCCCAGAGCTTTTTAACAATTTTCTTTCTTTTCTTTTTTTGAGTTGGGGTGTCACTCTGCCGCCCAGGCTGGAGGGCAGTGGTACACTCCCAGTCACTGCAGCCTCGACCTGCTGGGCTCAGGCGATCCTCCCGCCTCAGCCTTCCAAGTAGCTGGAACAGCAGGTGCGCGCTACCACACCTGGCTAATTTTTTTTCTTGTACAGACGAGGTCTCACCGTGTTGCCCAGGCTGGTCTTGAACCCGCAGGCTCAGGCAATCCTCTTGCCTTGGCCTCCCAAAGTGCTGGGATTATAGGCTTGAGC